GGCTTGATTGGCCTTTATAATATATATAAATAATATATATTGGGATAAAGTTTTAACACTTGATTAACCTTTAAAATATCTACAAATCGAGGTAAAGTATTAACAATTGACTTGATTAACCTTTACAATATCTACAAATCGGGGTTTTGTATTAACAATTGACTTGATTAACATTTAAAACATCTACAAAACCAGAGTAAAGTATTATAAACTGGCTTTATTAACCATTAAATATGTACATATCACTGTAAAGTATTACCAACTGGCTGGATTAACCTTTAAAATATCTGCAAATTGAGGCAAAGTATTTAGCACTGGCTTGATTAACATTTAAAATATCTACAAATAGGTAAAGTATTAACAACTGGCTTGATTAATACTAAATCTTGATTTTATGAATAGCGTACTAGGTAAAATATCAACAAATATTTATTCTAAATCATGATTTTATGCCAAGTGTACCTTTATACTACAAATCTAGTTAAGGTAGTCTATTAACAGATGATTAATCGTATAGTTTTATTGAAACCAGATGGCTCCGGTAGTTTTCTTTAGTAGTCTGCAATTGATTCCATTAACACCATAATAGAGCATGCCAGAAGACTTCTGGTAAATCTAAGCCTGTCTTTCTGTTAACTGCTATTTGGTAGGAAATTACAGGTGCGATAAACCATCCTTTTTTATGATTTGGTATATATCAAACCCACACAAAGGAAGGTTTAAGTAATTAAAGCTCATGCCTCACACTTGGGCTTGGCTGTGGTTAAAGACATGCGAATTTGTGCGATAATAAGAATGAAATCAGTCCTCAAAATCAAGTATTAAATATAGATTTGTTAATTTGCTATATCCATACTTCAAATTTCAGAGATTTAAACATACATCATGCAAGCGCTAAATGTGCCTATAGCAGGTCTTTGTTTCGGTCTGAAATGTTATATAAACATAAGACATTTATTAACATGAAATAACCTTAATCAACTCCCGATGCCATCCTATGTGTCGGATTTTCACTGGATTTGAATCCGATCTGCTGTTTAACGCTCATTGATGATTTAATCCAAAAATTGAATAATCTATTTATCGTACCGACTTTAGTAATGATGATCGAGGCTATGTCTAAAATCCAAACGCTAATATCTCGGTTCAGAGTGGAGCAATTTGACTGGAATGTTAGCATATTCCTTTTACATAAGGTAGTTTTTAACTAGCACAGTGAGAACTGCCAGCTCTTTATCTAATCTTCCATAATGTCCCATTAACAATCGATTACCAATACGCCCATGCATGATTCGTCAGGAGGTAATGAATAGACATTACTATAAGGCTTCCCTACTTTTGTTTCGAAAATGGATAACTATTAATTTCTGTAACTATTACATTTAGATTTTATCGTTTAACACTATACACATTGCTGCACTAAAAGCCACAACTCCATAAGGACGTCATTTTTTAACATATTTAATCTTTTAACGGAGTTTTAACTGAATCGTACCAATAAACTGAATGTTTAACATAATTACTTTAAGCTGCAATTAAAATAAACTTTAAGTACATTTTATTAGTTTTTCCGTTCATGTCAGAACGTAAATATGATAGACAGGATTTTAGTATTTAATTTGGGGTATGCTTAGTGCAGCTGTATTATGTACCACGATAAACAATCTGATTAAAATACAGATCTATATTTCGTTTCGGGTTTTTTACGTTTGATTGCCTACACTACATGAAGATCTCACCGGTTGTAGTGGGAGATCGTAATTGGCTAATCTCTTTCATCAAGCAGAACGCGGTTTATATAACAACTCTTCCAGATCTCAGTGTAGTAAAGACAAGAAAACGAAATTTTGAACTATAAATAAAAAACGAAACAATAACAAAATGTGGATTATTGCCCAAGAAAGACATTATTCAAATCAGATCTTAATTCTGTTTTCACTTTATTGATTCGGTTGATTATTACGATGAACATCATTTCAATTGTAAACATAGAAGCTTTAGGGATATATCATTTCCATACATGTTTTTGTGTAATATAAAACATTATTCAAGCATTATCCGGGAATAGGGATTAACATAAATAGACTACTGGTATCGCCTATTCGGTGGGAACTGTAAACAAATATATATCGTAATACGTTACATGGTAATAAAAGTTGAGATTACAAAAATTACGCTAGTTCTTATATATATATAGAGAGAGAGATTGAGAGAGAGAGAGAGAGAGAGCGAAATGGGGTTTAACGTCCACTCGACACAAACTATGTCATTTCGGGACTAACATGGTTTAATTTTATCTCAATAATTCACTTGCACGTAGGGGTCTTTAGCAGTGGGAGGAGACCGGAGGACCCGGAGAAAACCCACGAGGTTGGACAGGCGACCCTACTCCTTGTCACGTACAACCGGGGATTCGAAACCCGCCAGTTGACCCAATGACAGACGTTATGATACAGCGCGCACGTGCTAACCATTCGGCCCTAACGTAGTTCATATAAGGACAACGTATTGGGGTTAAAAAAAAATGAAAATTTTTTTTTAAAAAAAAACAGGATTAAGACTTGTGTAGCCTATACATGTTAAATAAACTATAAACATACTTCTGGAAAACAGCTACTGATTTATTTAGGCGACGTTTTGAAGAGTATTCTCTCAACGTTTTCAAGCTAATACATGTTAAAGTAAATTGAATTTCAAGATTAAACATGTATACATATTACATTAAATTTTTTAAGCGTGTCTAAATTATAAATATAAATATTTGTATTCAAGTGAGTTAGCATTAGATTTCCACTTAAAATTTGCGTTTACAAGGAATAGACACAGATGCAAGTCACTTCTTGTATCAGTGTAAGCGTCTAAATAACAAACGATACGGGTATTATAGGCTTAGTGATCAAACAGATAATAAAGACCATTAGATCATCAACCGTTACCAAAGAACAGTAATGATTGATCCCTCGGTTTCATATCCCAGTTTACTGCCTTAAGAGGTCATAAGGCCAATGACGTGTTTTTTCCTTAGACCCAGTTTCCATGTGCACGTTTTGGCAGGTTTTCGCCGGTGAAAAAGTCGGTCTAGTGCAAATTTAATGTGACTTGAACTGAAATAAGGGTTGAAAAGTGTATTTTAGATAATTTAGTCGATTAAGAGCTCAATGTTAAAAGATAGAAAAGGGTTATCCATAATCGACTGATTGGCTTTTCTGACATGGTTAAGATGGCGACATAAAATCTATCGTAAATGTGAGCTTCATATGATCTTAATATTTATTAGACTAACCATCCTTTAGTTACGACTAGTGTTATTAGGCAAAGTCTGCACGGATCTTTTAGACTGAAAGACTGTGCCTTTAAAGTTCATATCGCATATACAAGAAATACTACACCAATATTTTATATTAACGAGTTTCGCTCAAAACGTAAAGCCAAATGTCCAATTAATTATAGGCCCTCGTGACCCCTTTCGCGAGTCCGATTGGTGTTAACTAAAGTGGGTAATCTACTTGAAACGGGGCAGGAAACACCTGATTTTTCACTTAATGTGTGAAAATGGTTTACCCTCTGTTCTTTCTGCCAACATATAGGTCGTGTATACATGTACCTATATTATACCTTTCATAAAATGATTCCTCATTCTTTAATACAGTTTGATCAGTATATTATATGTCGTGTATATACCTATATTTTACCCTTTTATGACATTATTCCTCATTGTAGATTCCAATGTGCACAGTACTGCACAGTATGTAATACGAGGCATTACTACGTCATCTTAAATGCTTATGCATTCTAACATAAACTTATTAGGCTTCCATGCATGTGCATAACTGACACAGAACAAAATATAGTCTAAAGTCAGTCTTAATTATAAAACAGAACTAGTCCTTGTTCATAGTTTTATGACAGAGATCAATAAATACCTGCGCATGCAATTGCTGTTAGCAGTCTAAATAACTGACTCAGTTAAAAATATACGCCTACAAGAAATTTTCACCTAATGCGTAATTCAATAAGTCTCTATACATATTTAATGTATAGCTACACTGACTTTTAATTACTGCTTAATTAATTTTAGAATAACTCAACTTCCATTACAACCTAGGTCTGTGCGTCTGAATTAATGAGTATTAAAACCTGAAACTGGAAACGTACAACACTGATATTGAATAATTATTGATCATATAGCTCAACTTAGGATGCGGAGTTTCAATGTGATTATATTAAAATACAGAAACTGGTTATGCCATTATGGCCTTTTTAAATGTAGCCAATGCCTAAAGGTTGTTAAAACAATACTTAATGTCAATTTGTTTTGTTCGAATACTTTATATTGGGGTTTTTTTATTACGGTATTATTATTTTTTTTTTGGGGGGGTGGGTGATTGATATCTTCATATATCAATATGACGCCGCACGAGAAATGACTAATCTAATCCAACACTATAAGGTATTGATAATTCAAAATATCGAAATAGAATTCTTAGTTTGAACAACAACAAAATAATTTCATGACCCTGGGAGATAAATCACATATAGGCCTATGATCCCTAATACTGTATATTATTCAATCAGCCGTTAGATTAGGCGGGAATTTATGAATAAGAAAGGGTCTAACAAAAAGGGTTGATCAGATGACAATCCAGTTACTACTATACTGATCGCCTGTTTGACCACGGTTATTAGTCATTGTTGACATGTCCACTACTATACAGTGTCGGTGTTTTAAATTGTCTTTAAATCATAAATGACGGTTACTTTGTCAAAAATCGTACATTACTATCACTCGGTTCATTTGAATATTATTCATGTAACTGCAGCAGGGTCGAACAATATAAACGCTCCCCATACGTGTACCATAGTGGGCTATCAATCCAACAAACGAACCCAAACACAGGGGTTTGACCTACAAAAACTATACGTGTGTTGTTGTATGTCTGCGCGTTTATGTCGACGTCGGACACAAATATGATCATAAATTTGATAAAAACTCTACTTACCTATTGTGAATAAAACATAAAATATATCCATTATTAAAAACAAGAGCGAGAAACGTTAACTTCCATATCGTTAGACCATGATTCACGACAACCAACAGTCGGTTTACTTATGCATCTATGGTGGCCCAAAGAGGACTACACCATATTACATGTATACAACACTACGCTATATTATACCGTGAACGCCAGATCATTAGGCTGTAGTACATGTATTTGTCAAGGAGTTTAGTAAAGCATTAAATATTTTCCCCCAAGGTCTAGATTTCTAAATATATTTGGGATTGTACAAATTTATACATGGTTATACAGAATAAGGAAATTTTGGTGGAAATGTGTTATTGTTGATGTAAATGATCATCTTCTTGTAGATCAATCTGTTTCACAGAGAATTACGAAAGTCTTCTAATATCTCTGTAAAAGATGACTGCCTTCAACACGTGACGTCTCATCACGCGGCGTCAATCATTGGCTCAATGGCGCGGAATGGAGACTTTTACTCATTTTAATACCCATTTACACCAAATAGGAAATAATTTTACCTATAAATACGTAAAACGTCTTTATTTATTTTTCTAATACATAAAAAAAATGTTTTAGAATTTAATTTGTCGGAGGAAAAAAGTTAATATTTGTGGCTCATTAAGTCACATCGATGTCATCCTTATCAGTAATTGTAGCTAGCGGGTGGGGGGACAAAGGGGGGTGGGGGTCTGCCTCCCCCGGGAAAAATCCGCGCTCCCATTGGACGTAATACGAAGCCAACAACCAACGTGCCCATATCAATATGGGCGCCCCATAAAGCCGAGTGACATTGGTTGGGCGTCCAACCAATGGTACTTGGTTTTATGGGCGCCTCGCACATTATGGGTGCCTCACACGATTAACACCACTATTTGATTTATTGGGTACGAAAGCCCAGAAGGCGCATTCCAAATTACAAATTACAAATTACAAATTTGCTGCTGTAGCAAAAAAAAAATGCCAGTCCTAGGATACCGAGTAGCTGAGTAGCTCACTGCAGAGGAACTTAGGCCCAAACTGTTCACATCTGCCGAAACAAACCCGAACTGGAATATTGTTATTCTAACTGATTAGTCAAAAGCAAAAACCTGATCCTATTGGTCGGATCAGATTTGGAATTTGGAATTTCGCATTTGGAATTTGGAATCTGGAATTTGGAATCTAGTAATTTGGAACGGGTATTTATCCGGCCCAGATAGGTAAACTAGAAGTAATTACATGTAGTTGTGTAAAATTACAATTTATATAAATTCTAATTTGTTTAATTGAGGGGGGCTGCCAATTTGCTATTTTATCGGTAAGACATGAATTTTGAATTTCGCATTTGGAATTTGGAATTTCGCATTTGGAATTTGGAATGAGCCTTCTGGTCTTTCGTAATTGGGGGCCCAAAACGGCGTGATCTGTGTAGTGCCTTATCCCGGACAGGCAACTGTCCTTATAGGATAATTTCGATACTTTGACTTCATTTGAAACAATCTCAAAGAAGCAGGAAGTCCCTATCCCCATCTCAGAATAATTTTGATGAATTTGCTTAATTTTTTGCATTTACGACAGGGTCGTAAGATGTCAGAAAAGTGTAATATGGTAATATGGAACGATCGCCGCGTCTCTATGAGCGATATTTTCGGATATTTAGATGCAACGTGGCTTACCTCCAGAAAACATCGCCACACATCATCTGTTCGGATGCAGAGAATATTTCATCATACACCGTCATTAACAATGGAAGGGATAAAGTGGTCGTCACACACCTTTTGACCGGATTAAGGAAGTAATGCGATGGTTTCAGAAAATAATGCAATGTAGGGTGTTTCGCTTTTCATTTTTTTCATTATTTTTAATGTTTTTATCCGTCACTGAAGTCCACTCGGGGTTAAACTTACACCGTAATATTTTCAGAATTTTCTTGCCAAAAATGGCTGCCAACGGCTATTTTTTTTTTCAAAATTGCGGCCATTTTCAGGATTTTCCAATGTTTAAGCTTAACAGATCACTTAGAAAGGTCAGGTATGGCTTGTAACGTGTCTATTTTATACTTTTCAGGGATGTAGAGTCCATTCTCATTATCTTTTATGAGATTGTCAGCATCCAAGATGGCGGAAATCCAAGATGCCGCCTAAAATCGTCTATTTTCATGACATGGAAAAAAAATTTCAAAGACTATATAATTTTGCACTCTTAAAATTAATTATCAGGGCCAAAATGATGCACAGAATGACACTGATCTACCTTTTGATGAAAAATGGCAGAAGGTATTGACTGAAGGTGACGCTCCGATGGGGGGGGGGGGGAGCTGCCCCCCTAACTTTCGGGCAGACGGGTAAAGTGAAAAAAAAACTTATCATTTTATCTGGTTCGCAAAATAAACTGTCCGAAATCTAATAGCACGCTAATTTTACTTTTCTGGAGCCGCTCTGCTTTGTGCGGCATTTTTCGGACATCGATTTTTATTTGTGAATGCAGCATCAATTCAAGTCGGCATAGAGTGGGATTTCGGTTGCAAACCGACTGGAAAGTTTGAAGTTGCTTAATTCATGGGCTAGAATAGCAGAAAAACGCATTTGCGGCGGTTAAATTTTCAAACTTTTCTCGGGAGGGTGAAGCTTCCATACCCCACGACGATTGATTAGTTGTTTTGGATTTGGGATTCAGGTAAGTCACCTAAGGTAGGTTATTTTGGACCACACTGAAGTGTCTGTATTCACGGGCTGGAATAGCAGGAAAACGCGTTTGTAGCAAGATACATTTTCAAACATTCGATATAAAAAATCTTAAATATAATATCAACATCAGAAACAGAATAAATCTGCTGGTCTTTTATGGAAAACCTACAAGCACGGGTATTGAAGCTTTAAAATGGCTTGTGGAGAAATTAAATGAAGACAAGTGCTCTCCAAGACGATTTTTTTTTTCACGAAGGGAGAAAAATTATAGCATTTTCACTATATGATTTCAATGAATGGACACAGATCACCAAATATTCCTACGCCGTCACCCACGAAACAAGGGCCAAAGCTATTTTTAGTCTTCCTCTCCCTTTTCCTTTTTCCCCCTTTTGCATGGCGATTTTTGTTGACTTTTTGGTGTAGAATTTAGGAAAAGGGTTTGAAAATACATTTTCTGCCAGGTTTTGGTGAATATTCATAATTTTGATGCGGAAGGATACAAGAGTTGAGAGGTTGGTTACGTTGAAATGTAGGGCCTGAAATTGCATGTTTACTTGTCTCTACTTCCAGCTTGTGTATCTCAAGTTTTTCATGAAGAACCTCATACGTGCTTTTGGGCAAGTGGTTGCCACATGTTGCTCCATCTGTGGTAGAAAGCGTTCTACCCAACGAAAATTTGGGAAAAAGTTAGAGCCGGTCTAAGATACGAGAATTAACATTGGAGTCAATGGGGAAATCTTTAGTGATCTGTGTCCTGTCTGTGTGTGATAAGGCTGTCACTGATATTGCAATACAAATTTGTAACATGCCTCTGAGGTTTGAGATGTTGGAAACATTGAAATATTCCCAAATTTGTGAAAATTGTGTATTCTGTGACCCTTCTGTTAGAGAGGGGTGATCATAGACCAAATATGGCATTTTTTTCATTCATCAAGGCCTATTTTTAACCATAATTCATATTTATTGCACCTATTTTAGTTTATATGTGCATATGTTAGCCAGGGATGGTAAAACATAGCTGTTAGACAGATTCCTTTGGTAATGTAAGTTCTGCAACCATAGATTAGATTAATTCAATCAGTGGCATGTTCAGGGGGTAGGCATACATGTTTCAGTATAGATCTCTAATATTACAATCATTGCAACTGGTTTGCATTTTTTCTGTTTGCATATTGTCCACAGATTCTAAAAATATATTTCTTGTCCGTCCGGATATTTAAAAAAGTGGAAAATTATTGGTATTTTGAGAGATGCTACATGTGAATTTTGTACATTTTTCATCACATGGCAGTAAAAAATTATATTTTTGAAAAAAATTCCAAATTATAAGTGTTTTCTATGTAGTTTCTTTGTTACTTGTCTAATTTTTTCACAGAACTCAGATACTGCCTTTAATAAGAAAGATTTTTTAATTTTAGCACAAAAGGCCTATGGACCTGAGATGCACCAGTGTACATAAAGCAGCATGTGTACTTAAAGGGCCATCATTTTTACAGTTATTCTTTGATTTTGATTTTCTTTCACCGGCATGTTGCCAGAACACATGGGAAGGAAATAAAAAAGGCCTTTTGGTGATCCCTGAAGTTTCACCCCTATATGTCTGTGTGTGATAAGGCTGTCACTGATATGCCTTAGTTTTGAAAATATGAAGATTAAATTCTCAGAAAATATGAATAAAATAGTTTGGCTACAGAAAAACTAAAAAAAGTTAATTAAAAAAAAAAAAAATCTAAGTTTTGAAGAAAAATTGTTATTTTACTGCAAATTTCTCAATTTTCAATTTTTATTGAATTTTTAATAGTAAGTAAAATATTCTAATGCCCAATGTTGGCTTATTCAGTCTCAGAAAGCACAGATAAAATGAATAGTATTGAAATTTCACCAAATTTTGTCTAAAAATCAGGAATATTCACAAAAAATCTTGAGATTCCCCCCATTTGGATGTAGAAATTAATATTTTCATGACTACTAAAATGAGTCAAAATGTCTAAAAATGCCCATATTTTCTTTGCTAATATAACTTAGATGGGATCTACATGTTTGTCAGGTTTAGAAATAGCTCCAGCTTTCCTACAGAAAATTAAAAATTGGTAACACTGAGTTAATAATGTACAGCAGATGGGTTTGTACAAAATGTTCAAAACAGGGGTTGGCTCAATTTTGCCACTATTTTACCCAGAATAAGCATTTTTTTCTTCTTTGAAACATTAAATTCTTGCATTTCCTTCATGTAGGAAGCAATATCCCAGCCTTTCTAGACATTTTTTACTCCATCATTCTGTTTAGAGAGGCAATAAATGCCCCACCCCACCCTTTTCTATTAATGTGTTTTGAGGGATTTAAATGCACCTGTGTTGACATGTAAATGATCTTAATTGGAATTTGTGGTTGAATTACAGCTAAGAATGTTATTTTTCACCCAAAAATATTTT